TTGAGAAGGGCAGGAGATACCCAAAGCAGTGATGACTCAGAATAGGGCTTTGAGGAAGAAATCAGGATTTCTTAACTCTGGGAAGGCTTCAGAAAGATGAAGGCAAAGCAATTTTGAGGGGAAAAAATAAGGATTGGGATGAGGGAGGCTATGAATGTAATTAATCTTCCAATTAGGGTCAGATTGGTTACTGAAGCATTATTAAGATGATGCCAGCTGAGGCCATTGGCCACCAGGCCAGGACCCATTGCCTGGGGTTTTCAGCACTGATTTCATTGATTTTTGAATGGTACGGATATTGGGCATCATTAGTCCACTTCTATCATTCTGCCAATAAGGAAACCAAGTTCAACAGTGGTTGAGTGACTAATTTAAAGACTGTGTGATTCCAAACAGGAATAAATGTACAAGCAGTTATTTCAGGGCTAGAGCTGGGTCTCCTGGCTCTAACCAGTATCCTTGACTTCAGGCTTTGCTACCCAGTGAGGAGGAAAAGACAGCAAAGAAAAAAAAAAGTCGTGCACTCTGTATTCCTTATTTGGCCAATATGAAAAATGTGGATGATGCAAGAGATAGCATAAAATATACTTCATAGTTTAATCTCTGGATTCAGACTGATCACAGTTAAGTCCTGGCTCTGCTTTGTGACAAGTTACTTACCCTTGCTGTGCTTCAGTTATCTCATCTGTGAAATGGAAATAATAATAGTCATCTGACCACAAGGTTGTTAGGAGGATACAGTGAGCAGTATAGGTAAACACTTTTAGAATGAGAGTCACATTCTTCTTCCCCATATGCCTGTTCTGATTAATCACTGCTTTGGGTACCTCTGTCCTTCTAAATCAACTTATGGCTTACTAAGTGTGTTCTAATACTATATCTGAACATACGTGTTTGTGTTTAGAAATCACTATTTATTTAGAAATCAGAAATTCCTTGGACTTTTATATTGGGTGAAGTGCTTGAGAGTCTTGTGAAGAAAATTATGTAGGAAGAGTAGGTATTATTGTTAAGGCAATAATAGCAATTCTGAGGAGTTCACAGTGCAGCTGGGGTTCTCTAGAAATTTCTACGAGCCTTTTTCCTCTTGTAAGACTTTTTTTAACTTTTTGTCTACTCATCATGTCCTACTTCCTCAATGCTATGTCGTACCTCCTCCCTTCACCTTACCTGATGCTTGTGTGGCTCTTGGACTCAATTTAATAACCACCAACCTGATCTCCTAAAGCATCAAATGCCACTACCTCCAAGTTTCCCCTAGGTAGTCAGCTTGGATATCAAAATGTTATCCTGTGGTGTCTCTACTGTCAGTGTTTTAGTGAAGAATAAAGATAGTCTCTTGATGCTTCATAGCCAGAAATGAAATGGCAGTAAAATCTATATCTGCCGTTGCCATTTCTTCCTCTATACAAACCCACTGACTATTTTGGCTTAACAATTCTATCAGCATTTGGAATTCTGAAGCTTTGCTGTGAGAGTAGTAACTACAAGGTTAGAAACAAAAAGGGTGTAATTCAGATCTCAAGGTAGCCCTGAAGTGAGGGTAAGTAGCAAGAGTCAGCAAGGTAGGCAGGGAAAGAAATTGGATATACCGCCCACCCTAGTTTTTCAAAATTCTACAATTCCATCTTTTTCCTCCCATTTTTAGCCACTTGGGGCTGGTTCTATTTGTATTGCTGCTCAAAACATGCTCAGAACTGATGACTTTTTTCATCCTTCTGGTCAGCGTACTTGGTAATGCTGAATACTCAGAGAGACCAATGGAGTGTTCTACACCATGCTTATTATTCAAGTGCACCTTCTGGGACTTTCTGGGACTTCTTATCACCAGATTCCTGACATTCTTTTCAATCTGTCTGGCAAGTGCTCAACTCGCATAATTTCTTTTAGTCAGTAATGGAAAACCGAAACTTGTAATTAACTCCCAAGTAAGAATTATATATCTATGTATCTATCTATCTATATATATATATCCTGAAAAGTGATCTTAAAAGATGCTTCAGTGAGGACTGATTTTTTTTTCATTAACCACCTCTTATGATACCAATTTGCTCCCTTCTACTTCTGGAAGAATGCAAATTAAATCCACTCTGTCAATAGCAATTTCTGGATAGTAAAAAGGACCTGGTTATATTGTTTTTTCAGCTTCTGCTCAGAAATCAACTGTAGAGGATATAGCACCAAATTCTTAGCTTGACATTCAAAGCCTTCCACAGAAGGCTCCAACTCTCCATCCTAGCCTATTCCCTCCAAGCTTCTTACTCCACCCAAATGGATGGGCATTTTCAGGGTTTGCTAACTGTAGAGTGGGCTTGCCTAACTAGATGTTCTGCATATGTTGTGACTTCAACTTAGCAGAACTCTCCCACCTCTCTGCAACCTCCAAAAGCCATCTCAAGGCCTGCCTCTTCTCTTAGGTGGTCCCAGTCTACTGTGATATTGCCCTCCTGAATTTACGTTCCTTATTTTTGGTCACATTCACTTGGAAATTAATCACACATGTCCTCATAATTTTTCTTCTCATGTTTTATTGCATTTGCATTTTCATTCTGGTTTTATTTATTAACTTATTGTTTATTGCTTTTATTAAGATTGCTAGATGCTAAACTTATTGAGGTCAAGACAAAATCATGAGATTATATATCTCCCATGGGATTCATTTATGTATCTGGTGCATACAAGTTGATCAATATCTTCCTATCAGGTTGGTCCTTGCTGACAAGGGATGACATTGCAGAAATGTATCTAGCACTGAGGCTTAAAACATGGATTTTTCCTTCCTTTATAGAATTGTAAAGCAGTCCCATAATGTGAGAAACATTGTTTATTCACAGTGCATTATTTAAAAAGCAGATTATCTGTTTTTCTCCTTCATGTCTCCTCCCTCAACCTCTTACTCAAATTCTTTTTCTCATTTCTACTCATTGTCAAAACCTACACTGTTAGGCTGAAGGCTGACTGCTACGCAGCTTGTAGGTGTCACAGGCAGAGATATGTCTTTCAGCTGATAACATTCACTCAAGGGTTAACATTTAGAGCTTAGGAATGTCTTTAGACAAGCTAATTAAAGAGTAGTTTGTATTGTGTTTGTGCGTGTGTGGTTGTGCACGTTTAACAAAGTAAAATAAAATTGTGAATTTTTGGGAGATTTTGCCATGAAGAGGTTAAGAGGATTGTAAGTTGTTTTGTAAGTTGAACGTTGAGGTGGTAATGCAGTAAATGCCGATGAACAAACAGGCATCAGAGGGTCTGTGTGAATGACTCCTGGCTCATCCTATGTCCATTTGCTCCTGCCTCTTCTCACCGCATTGCCCTGAATTTTAAAAATTGAAACTTAAAATAGGAAATTTCTCGATTTTTTCCCCCTGAAGCTTGTCAATGATATAAATGTTAAATACACGGTTCAATGATATATTTTTTTAAATTTCTCAGTAAGCTATTCTAAAATTAGCTTTCTAATTGTGCAAATTGCTTCTTCCTCTCAGCTCTGTGCTCTTTGCCATCTTTACTGCGGTCCTCTACTTCCCCCCCTCCTTCCCAGTTTTCCACTAGCAAACAAACCCAGCAGTAATTGCTAATGTCCAAGCACGTAATTCCAGCAGCATTAGGCTTTTCATTTGACGCAACTACGCAGAGAGCTGTCTGGACATGCAGCATGAAGTTAAAGCATTTTTAAAGATTCCTGCCCATATTTTCTTCTCTCCTCTCACCACTGAAACACAGTTGTTTATTTTGTCTGCAGATGCAGAGTTATAAACTTCTTTTATACATTTACATACTCTTATATAAATGTCCACCCAAATAATTTTACATCCATGCACAATAACAGATCAACATATACATACATGGAAACACACGGTCATCCACAAAAAGAAAAAACACTAGGAAATAATTAAATAGGAATGAAATCGCCTTCTGTATATGAACAGGGAACTTTAGTATCTGTAGTTTATGGAAGATTGGAGGCAATGACTATCTAAACACAATCCAAGGTCTCATTTGGGGTCCTTTAAGGGGATCATTATAGCATTTCTTTAATGTGTTGTTTAGATTCTTACATATGACGCTGTTACTCTTTTTTGCTAACTACTCAAATGGCATAATTTTGATACTGGTCATTTAATGCTAGTTTTATCTATATTAAACAGAGAGAAGTATCCCTGATGACTTTTGCTCTCTCAGATGCTCCAAGCCTCAGAATAGAAAATGGTTAAAGTAGTTATCACCACCTCAGCAAAATCCCGCAGTGCCATAAGAGAAATCGCAGTAGATCTTTTAGGTCAGAGTTCAGTTCCAGTCTAACACCATGGTTCTTTACCTGCATTACCCTGAAGGACATAGTTGGATTCTCCTGAGGAAGACCAGTCTTAATGTTTTCAAAATCTAAAACTATCAGCCTGCGATAACCAATGCTGATAGGAAATACTTCCAGTAACTCTGAAACCATGGCCAAAGAGGTTATACAGTACAGGACCTGTAATATTTATCAGATGTGTTTTTGTGGATGAATACTTGTGTTCATGCCTGATTGCAAGATGGGGGGAGAAGGAAAATAAACAGTGATTCATTTTTAAAGTTGATTCTGCTTAGTTCAGCTAATCTCAAATTTTTATCAAATGGAAACATATAGAGAGACGTATCATCCCTATAAACAGACAGCATTGGCTTCTTCATATATACACTACTCATGCTCACCCAAGATCTGTAGACAGACCTACTCTGTGTTAAAAAACAAAACCCATGATACCGTGCTGAAGGATAAATGCATATTTAAAAAATGTATTTATTTTCTACCTAAAATAAGAGGCAGAGGGCAACACAGATTTCCACAAGTAGACTATTATTTTGTTGAAGCTATGAAGGAGGTGAGGAGGGAAGCAGAAAATTGTCTGCAAAAGAGTCTCTGTGAGCAAGATTTATTTGTTTCCTGTTTTCTTTTAACCAACTATGACTGCTCTATTTAGGGTCTCCGTAAGACTGGGGCCTCAGAGAAACAATTTGGTGTCCAGCCCTGGCACATCCGGCCCTGGCCAGGCGTTTCTGCCGCAGGCAGATGCGGCGTTGCGGCCGGACCGCTGTCCCCGGTGCTGAAAGGTCGAGGGCGCCCGCGCGAGCCCTTGGTATTGCTATCCAGGGTGCTGAGCGGGCCGCCGCAGTCTCCGAGGCCAGCCCACCCGCGCCAGCCCTCCGCAGAGCCCTCCCACCCGGCACGACCCGCCCGCCTCCCGCCAGCCTGCAGTTGACGTGGAGCAGGCGGCATAAATCAAGTCCGCGGGGCATGGAGGCTGCTGTCGCTGCAGCAGCTCAGCTTGCCCGGGGCGGGAACTCCCCCTTCTTTCGCCTCCCCAGCACCCACACCCTGTCTCCCCCTTAATTCTTCCCTGGATAATAGCACCCTAACGACAACAGTCCTAATAATAGGGTTAGAACGACAGGGGGGAAAAACCCAACAGCCCTAAACATCTCTGAAAACTGCATCGCAAAATGGAAGAAAGAGGGGGTCCCACTACTGTTTCCAAAGAGTAAGTTATTATTCGGTACGTATCCTCGCTCTTCCTCCCTGTCGCTCCATTTGCAGGGCTCCCGTTTCCCCTTCCCCCAGCAGCTCACCTCAAAAACACTTTATAAAGCCTCCACCAGACGTGCACACACGGAATACCGCACCCTAAGTGCACCAATACTTGTATTTACCCAAGCCCATTCGGACTGCCCAGCTGCTATCCCTTCTGGGTATGCAGCCATCCCGAGCCAGAGCCACGATCTGGGGAGGGGGGCTTCTTACCTGGGCTTCTCGGGAGGATGTGTTCTCTGGGCCTCTGCAGGTTGCAAGTGTGGAGGAGCCGCCGAGCAGGGAGGGAAGGAAAGACTGCGCCTGACCTCCCCGAGGTTTCGTCTTCAATGCAACGTGAGCTCTGCCCTCATCAAAGATGGCCGTCCGTTTTGACGTCAGCAGCTTTTAATAGCCGCCCGGCGAGGGGCGGGAGGAAGTGGGGGCGGGGCACCGGCGGGGGCGGGGGCGGGGCCCGAGCTGCGGCGCGCTTGACTAGGCTCCCCGCGCGCTGCTCTGAAAACATCCGTGTTTTCGCCTTCTATAAACACCCGAACGGGGCGATTCTTATGACTCCATTTTAACACTCAGTCTTGGGCAAACGCGTTCATCCTGCGACTGCATTCCTGATGTTCTCTGGTGTCTGTGTACATATGTGCATATGTATATATGCATGTGCGTATATACTTTATAATACATGTATTATATGTATATATTCGTGTGTGTATGTGTGTGTATAGATGTGTATATATATATTTCCCCACACCCCCACCCCGTTCAGTGGAGTCTGTGGTTCAGTCATCTAAGGAGAGGGGAAGGCAGCGGGGGATAAACGGTAATGATGGGAGGGCTGGGGGAAAATTGTAAGCGGCGATTTGTTTCCTCCAAAGAGGGTCCGGAGGGGCATCCCCGTCCACCCTCGCCGGCTCCATATATGGCCAGGCTACGTGGGTTGCTATTTTTATGAGTGACTTCTTCATGCTACCGAAGCAGCGTCGAGGGCTTGCAGCTCTCGTTGCTGTGGTCAGCCGAGGAGCGAGGCTGGCGCACGCTATTTTGAAGTACGTCAGAGCCAGGCTCTCCGAGCTGCGGCAGGAGTCGGGGGAAGGAGAAGGGAAGCGGAGTTAGCCCAGCCAGCGTGGGTTTGCAAAGGCTGGGGGATACAAGTTGAGTTGTTTGCCGAGGCAAAAACGGATGACGCTGCTTTTGGTGGAATTTGCAGTCGGCACTGGGGTTGCGTGCTGGGTGTCTTAGGGGTACCCTGCGGAGGCAGGGATGCCCCAAGGAAACAGTCCTAACGCCAGGGAGGAGGTGGGGGCTTAGGAACAAGGACGGCTGGACGCGGCCGAATCTGGTGGTTCACTCAGTACCCGTGCAGGCCGCCTCGGGGGCCCTTGGATGCTCAGATCAGGGCGGGGAGACAAAGGCTACTTGTGCTGGTCATATTAGACATTAAAAATGATAATGATAAAGCAACAATCCTCACTGTCCTTCCTGGCCGTGCACGGGCCCGGGGAGGGGGTGGTGCACGGATAGCTTGGCGGTGGCCGCCTCCCGGATGATTCACAGGTGTTGGGGAGGCTGTCGCGGGGCTCTCCGCGGGGAGGGAGGGCTGGGGAGCGCGTGGGAGGTGGGGGACCTCGTCTGAGGAACTGTTTGTACTTTTCCGGGAAGGATGCGATTAGAAGTCGTGCCTCGCAATGTTAAAACTTGATGGCCTCTTTTAGGTGATGGAAAATCCTTGTCTCACTTAGGAGAAAGCATTTAGAGCTGGGTTCGGATAAACGGCGTACAACCGCTCCCCCTGCACACACCCGCCCCACCAAACACACACACACACACACACACACACACACACCACACACACACACACACACACACACACACACACCACACACACACACACACACACACACACACACACACACACACACACATCTCGCTGGCCTGAGCACCAAGCTCAAGCAATAATACGGCCTTTGATTGCACTCCATTTCGGAGGAAGGGAAGCAGGGAGGGGGGAAAGGAAGAAGAGTTGTGAAGGCGCTGCGTTTAGAAAGAATGGGGCTGTTAAGAATTTAATAAAGTATACCTTGAATTGAAATCAGTAGACATCATTGTTTCTTAAAGATCCCCTGACCTGAAAGGTTTTTGTTTTTTTTTTTTTTGACGTATTAATGTTTGCCATAATAATTGTTTGGATGTTAATTAAAGCCAAATTCCTAAAAAAAAAGAGGCATGTTGCTGAAAGTTTTTTACTTAAATATTCATTAAACACTTAAGATTTCCATACAATAAAGAAGAAAATCTGCAAAGTCCTTAGATACTTAATTGCCAACAAAAGTCTCCTGATATGGCTCTAACTTTCATTATAAACCAAGCTGGAATACGGGGAAAGTGGCAATGAAAGCAATGTACTGCAAAATCCTTTATAGTCAGATTTTTTTCTCCAAAATGTGACACTTTAAAAAAAGGCAGCATGCGGAAGTTTGAAGAGAAAAAAAAAAAACCCTGCAGAGAGAGAAACAAAATGTATATATGGCCCTCAGACTAGAAATCGTTCAGGCAGAAAGTTTTGTAAAGGAATGGAGGAGGCGGGGGATTTTCCAGGTTGAAAAAAAAAAAAAAAAAAAAAAGTTAAAAAGCAACTACGTCAGTGATGGAGGCTTCTCCTGCAGGCAAAAGCTATGTGGCAGTCACAGGGAAGGACTGACTGGGTATCTGAGTTTTCAACTGCTGATGGCCGACACTGACATCTTTTAAAATGACAGATAGGAAGAGAGAGGCAGACTGTTTCAAGGCATTACAGAAAATACCATGGACTCTATAGGATTAGCTGGTGGTGGTGACAGCGTTTTCTGTTGCTAGGGCTTGTTTTGAAAATGATGCTGTTTGGGAGGTTCTTCATCTTGCTCTGGGAAAGGTAAAAAAGTCTAATTTGAGAAACATAAACATTGGGTACATAAAAGCCTGCTAAGGATAACCAGATAACCCTAAATGTATTTTGAGTATGATAATGAGATTTTTTTCCCGTTAGGATTTTCTCATGGCATGATTAAAACAAAACAAAAACAAATAAGAAAACATCATCATTTTGCCAGTAGGGAACCAACAGATTCATGTTACTCAGGGTTTGCAAAGGCCTGAACCATACAGGGAAGGAACATTGCTCCAAAATGGTTCAGCTGCTGTGGGTTATTTCTACAAAGGACCAACACACAGAGTCTCTAATGGTTAGGATGAGTAATGAGAAAATTACCTGCTTGGTTAGATGGTTATTTACACTGTGATAATTCAAGCCTCTGAAAGCTTTTTTTGATACATTATGCCCTGAAGTATTCTGGTTTGCAGTAGCTCTAGGTACAAGGTATTTAGCTTTTCCAAGGTAAGGTGCAACATTCATTGTTGACTCAATAATTACAATTTCATAAGGAATAATAATAAATACTTGTCTAAAATCCCATGTGATCTTTCCAAAGTCAACTTGAAAATAGTTTAAAAAATGGCCTAGCTCAGAAGCCCCCTCTCTAGGGTCCTCCTTTGGGACATGCCTGGCACTCTATGACAATGTTTTCAAAACACTGTGAGGGCACAAGAATATTCAGTTTGGGTGCAAGAATCTTCAGTTTGATATAGCAACTGTTTTGATTCCTTGTTTGCTTTCTACATGGTTTGCTTGCCACTTTCTCTTCATATATTCTTCTAGCCTTTCACCCAGTCCCCCACCCCATTTATATATAGTGAAGTACCTTAAAATGCCTAGAGTAGTTTAGCTCTAGGTTTAAACTATCCAGGCTGTCCTTGTTTCCTGAAGCCTCTAAGGTGGATGTATATTTGTGAGAGGTAGAACCAGGAATATTAGTTACTGTTTCTGCATTGCCATGTTAAGAAAAAATATGACTGTGCACCCAGAATGTTAAATAACATTTATTCTTTACTACAGACAGTATCATGGGAAGGAAGAAGGGGAGTGCCCAGCAGCCAGAGGCTGGATGTTTCCACACTTTCGTTCCCTGATGCACCAAAATTACAGCCTTTCTTTTACAATGCACCCTGGGACCCTCCCCAATGCTGAGACATGCCTGTGGTCAAGTAGAAAAGAAGTACCTGTGACAATCAGGAACAGAGAAGCAGAGAAAATGGTAGTCCAAATTAGTACATTTCAAAAAGGCCAATTGATAGGGATTACAGTATTATTTGAGTAAATCTTTTAGGAATCATATTCATTCCGTAACCTCTTTGTATCTCAGTTATCTCTTAGGTAAAATGGAGACAATAATTATACCTAATTGACAAGGAAATTATGAAGCACAGAGTATCATATGAAGTATTGGCTAAATACAATAAGTCTACCATTTTGATGAGACTTTATTTCTCTAAGAAATGACATGTAACTTGGCTTTAATATGGAGGATTACCTTTTTTCATTAGCTATTAACTAGGTATGTATAAATCGTACTAGGGCTTGGTTTTTCCATCTGTATGAACTTATTCATTTACTCAGAATCAAACATCTGCCATATGCTTGGCACTGGGGTCTAGGAAAAATTGAGTAGGGCATTGAGGGTTAGAGGGGTTAAATTACCTGGCCAAGGACACAGCTAAGAAATAGGATAGCTTAGGTTTGAACCCCAGGGCCCAAACTCATAATTACTATGTTTTAGAACAGCATCCTCCAGCTCCATCAGACTCTCTTTTGCCCTCTGCAGCTACCTTCTCTACCTCAAGACAGTGTGGCTTGTGCATGCCTTTTCTTGTTAGTGGCTTCAGGGTTTCATCTGATAGAGGCATAAGTATGATTTACAGGTTTGGTTGGGTGAATAACAAGGTTTCGCTGGGGCTAATTTCAAGAAAGATCTAGGCTGTTAGCCTGCGGCAAACAGAAACAACATATTCAAAGGACAGGAGTTCAAATTACAATTAAGGAGGAGATTCAGAGATCAATATCCAATAAAAAGCTTAAATAAGAATCAGGGCATAACATGCTTCCAAAATATACCTGAGTGAGTCAGCCAGAGGTCAGAACACAAGGGCAATATGGATCAGTGGTTTTGAGGCAGATGATACGAGATCTTCAATAAGAATTGATTCCAAGGGTAAAGAACTCTGAAGGTGAGAATTGGGTTAAGCTGGGTTGAAATGAATGACTCAGGATATACCTGGGAATGGAGCGAGAATATCTCGTGCCATTTTATTGATACTAGCAGAGAAGGGCATCACGGTTGTGCCAGCTCAC